CACTCACCCACACACTCACCACCACTCACCCACACACTCACCTAGTCACTCACCCACCCACTCACCCACACACTCACCCACACACCCACCCACTTATTAAGCCACTCACCCACACACTCACCCACACACTTATTAATCCACTCACCCACATTAATTCACTCACCCACCCACTCACCCACACACTCACCCACACACTCACCTAGTCACTCACTCACCCACACACTCACCCACACACCCACCCACTTATTAAGCCACTCACCCACACACTCACCCACACACTTATTAATCCACTCACCCACTTATTAATTCACTCACCCACCCACTCACCCACACACTCACCCACACACTCACCTAGTCACCCACACACTCACCCACACACTCACCCACACACCCACCCACTTATTAAGCCACTCACCCACACACTCACCCACACACTTATTAATCCACTCACCCACACACTCACCCACTTAATTCACTCACCCACTTATTAATTCACTCACCCACACACTCACCCACTCACCCACACACTCACCTAGTCACTCACCCACCCACTCACCCACACACTCACCCACACACCCACCCACTTATTAAGCCACTCACCCACACACTCACCCACACACTTATTAATCCACTCACCCACTTATTAATTCACTCACCCACCCACTCACCCACACACTCACCCACACACTCACCTAGTCACTCACTCACCCACACACTCACCCACACACCCACCCACTTATTAAGCCACTCACCCACACACTCACCCACACACTTATTAATCCACTCACCCACTTATTAATTCACTCACCCACCCACTCACCCACACACTCACCCACACACTCACCTAGTCACCCACACACTCACCCACACACTCACCCACACACCCACCCACTTATTAAGCCACTCACCCACACACTCACCCACACACTTATTAATCCACTCACCCACACACCCACCCACTTAATTAATTCACTCACCCACCCACTTAATTAATCCACTCACCCACCCACTTATCCACTCACCCACTTACACACACACTCACCCACCCACTTATTAATCTACCCACCCACTCACCCCCTCACCACTCACCTAGTCACTCACCCCTACTCACCACAGGTAACACAACACCTTGAAGCTTGTTTGGGTCTCTCTGTGAGGGAGAGAGACGGAGGTTCATCATGGCTCAACTCAACCACCTCACCCGTCCGTTCGCCCACCCACTCCTTCACTGCCTGGACCACAGCGGGGATGGGTTCCACAGGATTGGAATGTGCGTCCACGTTGAATTTCTATTGCACCATACTTAGCCAACCGTGCTCATTGCATGTGGAAGGATGCCCCAATAGCATGCCCTCTTTAAGAAGGGGGATTGCACAAACTTTAACAACTACCCGGGGCATCTCCCTCCTCCGTGTGATGCCGGGCAAGGCCCTGGCAAGGATTATAGTTCAACATTGCCTCCTGCCAGGCAACGGGCTGAGGAGAGGCTTGCGGAGCCCCAATGTGGTTTCAGGCCAGGGTGGTCCTGCACGGATGCCACATTGTGTGCTACAGCAGAGTTGTGCTCCTTTTGGCGTCATCTGGTCCAACACCAATGGGGACTAGGCTCTAAGAAAAGCTGTCTCGGGTGTGGACCAATCAACTTCAAGGACAGTGCATATCATTATCAGAGTTGTTTCTTTTTGTTTGCATTTGACTGCTTGTGTTGTGGTTATTGCAAACATGATGCCTTGTATAAAGGTGTCAGATTTGTACCAGTTTATAGGGTAAAAACCTAGTACTACAGCAGAGGTGTTATGGAATTCCAACAGGACTCGGGTCTATGAATAAGTTTTACCTTTTCTGGCAATGAAACACTTGTGCCAAGATGTATAAACGCCAAACTGAAACATTGTGCGAGTAATCATGTCAATGCATTAACTACACACGGTACATGTGGTGAACATGCACACACAACCCACGCTCTGGTAGTTTACGGTGATGAATTGTCTCTGAAACGGATTGGTCCACACCCAGAGGCAGCTTTCTTTAGAGCCGAGTCTCAAACAGCGCGAGACCAGCACCACGCCGTGCCGCTTTAGTCTCCCCAGTGGCGATGTTTACACACCGCACCAGGTACTCATTTGAGGCCGAGTCGACCTAGGGGAGGCCCAGGAGCGGTTGAGGACGTTGAGAGCTCGGGGTGAGCAGCTCCATCTTGGGACCTCCTTTGCCGCCACGATCAACGTAGAGGAATCGGTTTGACCCTTTCCGGCAATAAGACGCCTCTGCTGTTATTGACCTGGTCACGGCACGGGATGCCATCACCAGGCCAGGTTCCGGGTTGTTGTTCTTCGTGCTTTCGGAGTCCCTGATTGTGCCCACAATCAAGGGCCTGCATGATGGTGGACAGGCCCCCGGGTAAAACTACGTGGCTGGGAGTCGGAGACAATCCCTGTTCACCAAGGGGTGCATTATTTAACATCTATTTTGACCGCGTAGTTCGTGAAGCCTTCAATAGCTGTACCGGGTGAATTTCCATTTGGTACAGATACAATGGGAGGCTGATCGATGCCCGGGTGCTATCAAGGGATGGCTCCCTATTGGTCAACCACGTTATGTATGCCGATGATTTGGTAATAGCTGCTCACTCAGAGGAGGAGTTGGAGACGCTGCTGCTGAGACTGGAGCGTGCCACTAAGAGGGTGGGGCCTGCACTATGTTACGTCTCCCTCCCTTTCCCCCTCTCTCTCCATCTCTCCGTATTCCTCCTGCCCCCTTACCACCCCATTCCCTGTCTCTCCCTTTCTCTCTGTCTCCCTCACTACTCCCCCTCCATTCCCCCTCTCCACCCTCCCCATTCCCCCTCTCCACCCTCCCCATTCCCTGTCTCTCACAGAGCAACTGGTGGCCAGCATCCGGCAGGAGTTCCGCCGTCTGCAGCGCAGGAAGCACCTGGACCCGGCCGCCTTTGTCTCCCCGGCGTGCCCCCCACCCTCTCCCCCCTCCCCCTCGCCGCCCCCCTCCCCCCCCTCGGAGCAGATGGAGGCCGGCAGCCCCCCGCCAGCCCCCCAGAGTCTCCACGGAGACGCAGGTTAGCAGCGCAGAGAGCACCTGGGTGCGTGTGTGTGTGTGTGTGCGTGCGTGTGTGTGTGTATGCGTGTGCGTGCGTGTGTGTGTGTGTGTGCGTGCGTGTGTGTGTGCGTGTGTGTGTGCGCGTGTATGCGTGCGTGTGTCTGTGTGTGCGCGTGTATGCGCACGTGTGTGTGCGCGTGTGTGTGTGCATGCGTGTGTGTGTGGGCGTGTGTGTGCGTGCGTGCGTGTGTGTGTGGTTAGTACTTGGAGCCCTCCAACACTGAACCCTCCTCTGTGTCGCTGTCTCTCTCACCGTGTCTCTGTCACCGTGTCTGTGTCTCACTGTGCCTCTGTCTCTCACTGTCTCACTGTGTCTCACTGTGCCTCTGTGTGTTTCTTGTCTCTCACCGTGTCTGTGTCACTGTCTTTCTCACTGTGTCTCTCTCACGTGTCTCTGTGTCTCACTGTGTCTCACTGTGTCTGTGTTTCTCTGTGTCTCTCTGTGTCTCTCACTGTGTCTCACTGTGTCTCTCACCGTGTCTCACCGTGTCTCTCTGTCTCTCCCCCAGGCATTGTGTCCCTGTGTCTCACCGTGTCTCTGTGTCTCTGTTTCACCTTGTCTTGGTCTCACCGTGTCCCCGTGTCTCACCGTGTCTCTGTGTCTCTCCCCCAGGTATTGTGTCCGTGTCCCTGTGTCTCTGTTTCACCGTGTCCCTGTGTCTCACCGGGTCTCTGTGTCTCCCCCAGGCGTTGTGTCCCCGTGTCTCTGTTTCTCACCGTGTCTCTGTCTCTCCCCCAGGCGTTGTGTCCCCGTGTCTTTGTTTCTCACCGTGTCTCTGTGTCTCTCCCCCAGGCGTCGTGTCCCCGTGTCTCCGCTCCGTGCCCATCGCCGCCACCGCCGTCCTGTCGGCGTCGTGCCCCCACAGGGCCCCCCCGGGCCCTCTCCTCCTCCTCCTCACCGGCCCCCCGGCCCCCCCCGCCAGCGCCGCCACCGCCGCCCCCCCCCCAGCTCACCACTCCTCACCGCTGCTCACCCTGCGCCAGGTGGCTCTGATCTGTGAGCGAGCCGTGCGGGAGCGGGAGGACTCGCTCCGGGAGGAGTACGAAGGGGTGCTCACCAGCAAACTCTCTGGTACCACCACTCGCTCATCCTCGCCACTCGCCACTCACCCTCACCACCACTCGCTCATCCTCGCCACTCGCCACTCGCCACTCTACACACTCACCACCCTCACCACTCACCAGCAAACTCTCTGGTACCACCACTCGCTCATCCTCGCCACTCACCCTCACCACTCTACACACTCACCACTCTACACACTCACCACTCTACACACTAACCACTCTAAACACTCACCACCCTCACCACCACTCACCCTCACCACCACTCACCACTCTACACACTCACCACTCTAAACACTCACCACCCTCACCACCACTCGCCACTACACACTCACTACTCACCACACTCACCCTCACCACTCACCCTCACCCACCACTTACCACTCACCACCATTCACCACCACTCACCACCACTCACCCTCGCCACTCACCCTCACCCACCACTCACCACTCACCCACCACTCACCCACCACTCACCCACCACTCACCCACCACTCACCCACCACTCACCCACCACTCACCCTCACCACTCACCCACCACTCACCCACCACTGTCTCTCTCCCCGTGTCTCTCCCCCCGTGTCTCTCCCCCCGTGTCTCTCTCCCCGTGTCTCTCTCCCCGTGTCTCTCCCCCCGTGTCTCTCCCCCCGTGTCTCTCCCCCCGTGTCTCTCCCCCCGTGTCTCTCCCCCCGTGTCTCTCTCCCCGTGTCTCTCTCTCCCCGTGTCTCTCCCCCCGTGTCTCTCTCCCCGTGTCTCTCTCCCCGTGTCTCTCTCTCCCCGTGTCTCTCTCCCCGTGTCTCTCTCCCCGTGTCTCTCTCCCCCCCGTGTCTCTCCCCCCGTGTCACCCCCCCCGTGTCACCCCCGTGTAGAGCAGTACGATGCTTTCGTGAAATTCAACCACGACCAGATGCTGCGTCGCTACGGAGAGAGGCCAGCCAGCTGTGAGTACTCACTGTACCTACTGTACACCACTGTACCCCACTGTCCCACAAAACTACCCACTGTACACCACTGTACACCACTGTACACCACTGTACACCACTACACTGTACACCACTATCAACTGTGCACCACTGTACACCACTGTACAGCACTGTACCCCACTGTACACGACTGCACCACTGTACACCACTCACTGTACAGCACTGTACCCCACTGTACCCGGCTCTGCACCGTCTCGTTCAGCGCCTCGGCTGTACAGTGTGAGCTGCGGTTCCCATAACGACCGTGCTGAGCTCCAGTGACGCGCTACACTGTCCCTACTACTGTACCCAGAGTGCACTGCTGCACTACAGTACAAAATAGCAGCGCGGCCACTGTACTGTGAAGTGTTTACGGCGCGACATTGCTCCTGTTGAATGTTGCCGTAAACGTTTACCGCCCAGCTCCACTATACAAAGTAATACAGCTGGTACTGTGAGTGCTTCTGTGTAGATGTACTGTACCCACTCATTCAACCATTCACTCGCTCACTCACTCATTCACTCGCTCACCCACTCATTCACTCACCCACTCATTCACTCACCCACTCACCCACTCATTCACTCACCCACTCATTCACTCACCCACTCACACAGTCACCCTCCCACTCACTATCACCCACCCACTCATTCACTCACACGATCACCCACCCACTCATTCAGGCACCCACTCACACGATCACCCACCCACTCATTCACTCACCCACTCACACTATCACCCACCCACTCATTCACTCACCCACTCATTCACTCACCCACTCACACTATCACCCACCCACTCATTCAGGCACCCACTCACACGATCACCCACCCACTCATTCACTCACACAATCACCCACCCACTCTTTTCAGGGTTCAACCTGAGACCGTTACCCATAATGCCGTGCGTGTGTGTGTGTACTCACAGATGTGTCTTGAGAAGATTCGCACGGAGACACGGAGACACGCACGGAGACACACACGGAGACACGGAGACACACGCACGGAGACACGCGGAGACACACGCACGGAGAGACGCACACGGACACGGAGAGACACACACGGACACGGAGAGAAACACACGGACACGGAGAGACGCACACGGACACGGAGAGACACACACAGACACGGAGAGACACACACGGACACGGAGAGACACACACAGACACGGAGAGACACACACAGACACGGAGAGACACACACAGACACGGAGAGACACACACGGACACGGAGAGACACACACGGACACGGAGAGACACACACGGACACGGAGAGACACACACAGACACGGAGAGACACACACAGACACGGAGAGACACACACAGACACGGAGAGACACACACAGACACGGAGAGACACACACAGACACGGAGAGACACACACAGACACGGAGAGACACACACAGACACGGAGAGACACACGGACACGGAGAGACGGACACGGAGAGACACACGGAGACACAGACATGAAGATATGAAGACATGAAGATACGCACACAGACAAGCGGAGATCCATGGAGATGGAGACACGGAGACAGACACGGAGACAGACAGGGAGACACAGACATGGGAGACAGGGAGACAGACAGGGAGACACAGACATGGGAGACACAGACATGGGAGACACAGACAGGGAGACACAGACATGGGAGACAGACAGGGAGACACAGACATGGGAGACAGACAGGGAGACACAGACATGGGAGACAGACAGGGAGACAGACAGGGAGACACAGACAGGGAGACAGACAGGGAGACACAGACATGGGAGACAGACAGGGAGACACAGACATGGGAGACAGACAGGGAGACACAGACAGGGAGACAGACAGGGAGACAGACAGGGAGACAGACAGGGAGACAGACAGGGAGACAGACAGGGAGACACAGACAGGGAGACACAGACAGGGAGACACAGACATGGAAGACAGACAGGGAGACAGACAGGGAGACAGACAGGGAGACACAGACAGGGAGACACAGACAGGGAGACACAGACAGAGACACAGACAGAGACACAGACAGAGACACAGACAGGGAGACACAGACAGGGAGACAGACAGGGAGACACAGACAGAGACACAGACAGGGAGACAGACAGGGAGACACAGACATGGGAGACACAGACAGAGACACAGACAGGGAGACAGACAGGGAGACACAGACAGAGACACAGACAGGGAGACAGACAGGGAGACACAGACATGGGAGACACAGACAGAGACACAGACAGGGAGACAGACAGGGAGACACAGACAGGGAGACACAGACATGGGAGACAGACAGGGAGACAGACAGGGAGACAGACAGGGAGACACAGACAGGGAGACACAGACATGGGAGACAGACAGGGAGACAGACAGGGAGACAGACAGGGAGACAGACAGGGAGACAGACAGGGAGACAGACAGGGAGACAGACAGGGAGACAGACAGGGAGACAGACAGGGAGACACAGACATGGGAGACACAGACAGGGAGACACAGACAGAGACACAGACAGAGACACAGACAGGGAGACACAGACAGGGAGACAGACAGGGAGACACAGACAGAGACACAGACAGGGAGACACAGACAGGGAGACAGACAGGGAGACACAGACATGGGAGACACAGACAGAGACACAGACAGGGAGACACAGACAGGGAGACAGACAGGGAGACACAGACAGGGAGACACAGACAGGGAGACACAGACACGGAGACACAGACAGGGAGACACAGACAGGGAGACACAGACACGGAGACACAGACACGGAGACACAGACAGGGAGACACAGACAGGGAGACACAGACAGGGAGACACAGACAGGGAGACATAGACAAAGACACAGACAAAGACACAGACAAGGAGACACAGACAAGGAGACACAGACATGGGAGACAGACAGGGAGACAAATACATCGACACACGCAGACATGGGAGTTCTCGGCTTCCCCCTCTCCCCCCCCTCCCACTCCCTCCCCCGCTCCTCCCTCCCCCATCATTCCACCAGCCTCCCTCCCCTCCCTCCCCCCCCCCTTCTCCCCTCCCTCCCCTCTCCACCCTCTCTCCCCATCCCTCCCGTGAGCTGTTCCCAAGTTGTCTGCTTTAGAACTAAAAGTCGACAAAAACCCAAAACGTCCGACTCTGTCTCGTGTTTACTTCGCTCAGTTCCACGTTGGTGTCGCCCCTGGGCCCCTGGGCCCCTGGGCCCCTGGGCCCCTGGGCCCCTGGGCCTCTGGGCCCCTGGGCCTCTGGGCCCCTGGGCCCCTGGGCCTCTGGGCCCCTGGGCCTCTGGGCCTCTGGGCCTCTGGGCCCCTGGGCCTCTGGGCCTCTGGGCCTCTGGGCCCCTGGGCCTCTGGGCCCCTGGGCCTCTGGGCCTCTGGGCCTCTGGGCCTCTGGGCCCCTGGGCCCCTGGGCCCCTGGGCCCCTGGGCCCCTGGGCCCCTGGGCCTCTGGGCCTCTGGGCCCCTGGGCCTCTGGGCCCCTGGGCCTCTGGGCCTCTGGGCCTCTGGGCCCCTGGGCCTCTGGGCCTCTGGGCCTCTGGGCCTCTGGGCCTCTGGGCCCCTGGGCCTCTGGGCCTCTGGGCCTCTGGGCCTCTGGGCCCCTGGGCCTCTGGGCCCCTGGGCCTCTGGGCCCCTGGGCCTCTGGGCCTCTGGGCCTCTGGGCCCCTGGGCCCCTGGGCCCCTGGGCCCCTGGGCCTCTGGGCCCCTGGGCCTCTGGGCCTCTGGGCCCCTGGGCCTCTGGGCCCCTGGGCCTCTGGGCCCCTGGGCCTCTGGGCCTCTGGGCCCCTGGGCCTCTGAGCCCCTGGGCCCCTGGGCCCCTGGGCCCCTGGGCCCCTGGGCCTCTGAGCCTCTGAGCCCCTGGGCCCCTGGGCCTCTGGGCCCCTGGGCCTCTGAGCCCCTGGGCCCCTGGGCCTCTGGGCCTCTGAGCCTCTGAGCCCCTGGGCCTCTGAGCCTCTGAGCCCCTGGGCCTCTGGGCCCCTGGGCCTCTGGGCCCCTGGGCCTCTGGGCCTCTGGGCCTCTGGGGCCCTGGGCTCCTGAGCCCCTGGGCCCCTGGGCCTCTGAGCCTCTGGGCCTCTGGGCCTCTGGGCCTCTGGGCCCCTGGGCCTCTGGGCCCCTGGGCCCCTGGGCCTCTGGGGCCCTGGGCCTCTGGGCCCCTGGGCCCCTGGGCCCCTGGGCCTCTGGGCCCCTGGGCCTCTGGGCCTCTGGGCCTCTGGGCCCCTGGGCCCCTGGGCCCCTGGGCCCCTGGGCCCCTGGGCCCCTGGGCCTCTGGGCCTCTGGGCCCCTGGGCCTCTGGGCCCCTGGGCCTCTGGGCCCCTGGGCCCCTGGGCCTCTGGGCCCCTGAGCCTCCGGGCCTCCGAGCCCCTGAGCCTCCGGGCCTCCGGGCCCCTGGGCCTCTGGGCCTCTGGGCCTCTGGGCCTCTGGGCCTCTGAGCCTCTGGGCCCCTGGGCCCCTGAGCCTCTGGGCCTCTGGGCCCCTGGGCCCCTGGGCCTCTGAGCCTCTGGGCCTCTGGGCCCCTGGGCCTCGGAGCCTCTGGGCCTCTGGGCCTCTGAGCCTCTGAGCCCCTGGGCCCCTGAGCCTCTGGGCCCCTGGGCCCCTGGGCCCCTGGGCCTCTGGGTCGGGTGCCGTCGGTCTGCACAGAGAGGAGAACGCAGCACCGCTGTGGCTGATTGAGGGGTGGGGACGGGGGGTGGGTGGGTGATTGGGTGGGTGGGTGAGCGAGAGATGGTGGGTGGGTGAGCGAGAGATGGGTGGATAAACGTGATGGTGGTGGTGGGTGAGTGAGAGATGGTGGTGAGTGAGATGGGTGGGTGGGTGAGAGATGGTGGATGAGTGAGCGAGATGATGGATGAGTGAGCGAGATGATGGATGAGTGAGCGAGATGGTGGGTGGGTGAGATGGTGGGTGAGTGAGATGGTGGTGAGTGAGAGATGGTGGTGGTGAGTGAGATGGGTGGTTGAGCGAGATGGTGGGTGGGTGAGATGGTGGGTGAGTGAGATGGTGGTGAGTGAGCAAGATGGTGAGTGAGTGAGTGAGAGGTGGTGGTGGTGAGTGAGATGGGTGGGTGAGCGAGATGGTGGTGGTGAGTGAGTGAGTGAGATGGTGGTGGTGAGTGGGTGAGAGATGGTGGTGGTGAGTGAGATGGGTGGGTGGGTGAGATGGTGGTTGGGTGAGCGAGATGGTGGTGGTGAGTGGGTGACATGTTGGATGAGTGAGCGAGTTGGTGAGTGAGATGGTGGGTGAGTGAGATGGTGGTGGTGAGTGGGTGAGAGATGGTGGTGGTGAGTGAGATGGGTGGGTGGGTGAGATGGTGGGTGGGTGAGCGAGATGGTGGTGGTGAGTGGGTGACATGTTGGATGAGTGAGCGAGTTGGTGAGTGAGTGGGTGAGATGGTTATGGTGAGTGAGAGATGGTGGTGGTGAGTGAGATGGGTGGGTGGGTGAGAGATGGTGGTGGTGAGTGAGATGGGTGGGTGGGTGAGAGATGGTGGTGGTGAGTGGGTGAGAGAGATGGTGGGTGGGTGAGAGATGGTGGATGAGTGAGCGAGTTGGTGAGTGAATGAGATATGGGTGAGTGAGTGGACATCTGGGCAGGAGTGTTTTAAAGACGTGGGCCACATTGGCTCATGAACAACGTGTCTGTCTCCCTCTCTCTGTCAAGGTCGCATCATTGATATTCATTACGAGTCGATGTCCGTCGCCTGAGGGTTCATGATGGCCTTGGAGTTGGGGTCCACAATGGCCGTGTCGTGTTTCACAACAGCCGTGTAGGTGGGGTTCACGGTGGCTGTGTGGGTGGGTGGGGTTCAAGGTGGCTGTGTGGGTGGGTGGGTGGGGTTCACGGTGGCTGTGTGTGTGGGTGGGTTCACGGTGGCTGTGTGGGTGGGTGGGGTTCAAGGTGGCTGTGTGGGTGGGTGGGGTTCACGGTGGCTGTGTGGGTGGGTGGGGTTCAAGGTGGCTGTGTGGGTGGGTGGGGTTCAAGGTGGCTGTGTGGGTGGGTGGGGTTCACGGTGGCTGTGTGGGTGGGTGGGGTTCACGATGGCTGTGTGGGTGGTGGGGTTCAAGGTGGCTGTGTGGGTGGGTGGGTGGGGTTCACGGTGGCTGTGTGTGTGGGTGGGGTTCAAGGTGGCTGTGTGGGTGGGTGGGTGGGGTTCACGGTGGCTGTGTGGGTGGGTGGGGTTCAAGGTGGCTGTGTGGGTGGGTGGGTGGGGTTCACGGTGGCTGTGTGTGTGGGTGGGGTTCACGGTGGCTGTGTGGGTGGGTGGGGTTCAAGGTGGCTGTGTGGGTGGGTGGGGTTCACGGTGGCTGTGTGGGTGGGTGGGGTTCAAGGTGGCTGTGTGGGTGGGTGGGGTTCAAGGTGGCTGTGTGGGTGGGTGGGGTTCACGATGGCTGTGTGGGTGGGTGGGGTTCACGGTGGCTGTGTGGGTGGGTGAGGTTCACGATGGCTGTGTGGGTGGGTGGGGTTCACGGTGGCTGTGTGGGTGGGTGGGGTTCACGGTGGCTGTGTGGGTGGGTGGGGTTCACGGTGGCTGTGTGAGTGGGTGGGGTTCACGGTGGCTGTGTGGGTGGGTGGGGTTCACGATGGCTGTGTGGGTGGGTGGGGTTCAAGGTGGCTGTGTGGGTGGGTGGGGTTCACGATGGCTGTGTGGGTGGGTGGGGTTCACGGTGGCTGTGTGGGTGGGTGGGGTTCACGATGGCTGTGTGGGTGGGTGGGGTTCACGGTGGCTGTGTGGGTGGGTGGGGTTCACGGTGGCTGTGTGGGTGGGTGGGGTTCACGGTGGCTGTGTGGGTGGGTGGGGTTCACGGTGGCTGTGTGAGTGGGTGGGGTTCACGGTGGCTGTGTGGGTGGGTGGGGTTCACGATGGCTGTGTGGGTGGGTGGGGTTCACGGTGGCTGTGTGGGTGGGTGGGGTTCACGGTGGCTGTGTGGGTGGGTGGGGTTCACGGTGGCTGTGTGGGTGGGTGGGTGGGTTCACGATGGCTGTGTGGGTGGGTGGGGTTCACGATGGCTGTGTGGGTGGGTGGGGTTCACGGTGGCTGTGTGGGTGGGTGGGGTTCACGATGGCTGTGTGGGTGGGTGGGGTTCACGGTGGCTGTGTGGGTGGGTGGGTGGGGTTCAAGGTGGCTGTGTGGGTGGGTTTCACGGTGGCTGTGTGGGTGGGTGGGTGGGGTTCAAGGTAGCTGTGTGGGTGGGGTTCACGGTGGCTGTGTGGGTGGGTGGGTGGGGTTCAAGGTGGCTGTGTGGGTGGGTGGGGTTCACGGTGGCTGTGTGGGTGGGGTTCACGGTGGCTGTGTGGGTGGGTGGGTGGGGTTCACGGTGGCTGTGTGGGTGGGTGGGTGGCGTTCACGGTGGCTGTGTCAGGTTCACAATGACCGTGTCAATGGGGTTCCCAGATCCCCCTCAGCCCCGCCCCTCATCCCTAGCCCCGCCCCCCGCCCCCTCTAGCCCCGCCCCTCGCCCCCCGCTGGGAGAATAAAAAGCGGCGACTCCCGATTCGACGAGGCGTCAAACAGCGAACTCCTCGCTACCAACATCATCAACATCACCAACAACATCAACAACATCACCATCAACATCACCAAGATCACCAGCATCACCAACAACATCACCAACAACATCACCAACAACATCACCAAGATCACCAACATCACCATCAACATCACCAACATCACCAACAACATCAACATCACCAACGCCAACATCATCAACATCACCAACATCATCAACATCACCAACGCCAACATCATCAACATCACCAACATCATCAACATCACCAACGCCAACATCATCAACATCACCAACATCATCAACATCACCAACATCACCAACAACATCACCAACATCATCAACATCACCAAGATCACCAACAACATCACCAAGATCACCAGCATCACCATCAACATCACCAACATCAACAACATCACCAACAACATCAACATCACCAACGCCAACATCATCAACATCACCAATATTACCAACAAATCAACATCACCATCAACATCACCAAGATCACCAACATCACCAACAACATCACCAAGATCACCAACATCACCAACAACATCACCAACAACATCACCAAGATCACCAGCATCCCCAACAACATCACCAACATCACCAACATCATCAACATCACCAACGCCAACATCATCAACATCACCAACATCATCAACATCACCAACGCCAACATCATCAACATCACCAACATCACCAACATCAACATCACCAACATCACCAACAACATCACCAACATCATCAACATCACGAATATTACCAACAAATCAACATCACCTAGCTTCCCCCCCTCTCTCTCCATCTCCCCCCCTCTCCATCCCCCCCCCCTCTCCCCCTGCCCCCCCCGCCCTGTCCCTGTCTCGCCATGGGGGACTGGAACCTGCTGGGTAAGATCCTGGAGGAGGTGCACATCCACTCGACCATCGTAGGCAAGATCTGGCTCACCATCCTCTTCATCTTCAGGATGCTCGTGCTCGGAGCGGCTGCAGAGGAGGTACCACGTGCTCGCTCTGCACTGCCGCATGGACAACCGCCCAGCCACTCGCTCAGCGAATCACACACTCACCCACACACTCACTCACCCACTAACCCACTCACACACTCACACACTCACTCAACCACCCAGCCACTCGCTCAGTGAATCACACACTCACCCACCCACTCAGCGAATCACACACTCACCCACCCACTCACTCACCCACTAACCCACTCACACATTCACACACTCACTCAACCACCCAGCCACTCGCTCAGTGAATCACACACTCACCCACCCACTCAACCACTCAGCCACTCGCTCAGCGAATCACACACTCACCCACACACTCACTCACCCACTAACCCACTCACACACTCACACACTCACTCAACCACCCAGCCACTCACTCAGTGAATCACCCACTCACCCACACACTCACTCACCCACTAACCCACTCACACACTCGCACACTCACTCAACCACCCAGCCACTCGCTCAGCGAATCACACACTCACCCACCCACTCAACCACTCAGCCACTCGCTCAGCGAATCACCCACTCACCCACCCACTCAGCGAATCACACACTCACTCACCCACTCACCCACTCGCTCAGCGAATCACACACTCACTCACCCACTAACCCACTCACACACTCACACACTCACTCAACCACCCAGCCACTCGCTCAGTGAATCACACACTCACTCACCCACTCAACCACCCAGCCACTCACTCAGCGAATCACACACTCACCCACCCACTCAACCACCCAGCCACTCACTCAGCGAATCACACACTCACCCACCCACTCAACCACCCAGCCACTCACTCAGCGAATCACACACTCACCCACCCACTCAACCACCCAGCCACTCACTCAGCGAATCACACACTCACCCACCCACTCAGCGAATCACACACTCACTCACCCACTCACCCACTCGCTCAGCGAATCACACACTCACTCACCCACTCACCCACCCACTCAGCGAATCACACACTCACTCACCCACTCGCTCAGCGAATCACACACTCACTCACCCACTCACCCACCCACTCAGCGAATCACACACTCACTCACCCACTCAACCACCCACACACTCACCCACTCACCCACTCAACCACCCACACACTCACCCACCCACTCAGCGAATCACACACTGACTCACCCACTCACCCACTCAGCCAATCACACACTCACTCACCCACTCAACCACCCACACACTCACCCACTCACTCAGCGAATCACACACTGACCCATCCACTCACACACTCACTCACCCACTGACCCACTCACTCACTCACCCACTCACACACTCACTAACCCACTCACTAACCCACTCACTCACCCACTCACTCAGCGAATCACACACTGACTCACCCACTCACTCACTCAGCGAATCACCCACTGACCCACCCATCCACTAACCCATACACTCACTCACCCACTCACCCACTCACTCAGTGAATCACCCACTCACTCACCCACTCACTCAGCGAATCACCCACTCACTCACACACTCACTCACACACCCACTCACCCACTCACTCAGTGAATCACCCATTGACCCACCCACTCACACACTCACTCACCCACTCACTCACCCACTCACTAACCCACTCACCCACTCACTCAGTGAATCACCCACTGACCCACCCACCCATCCACCGACCCGCCCACTCACAAACTCACTAAGCCACTCACACACTCACCCACTCACTCGATTAATAGCCCACTCGCTCACCCATCCACCGACCCACTCACTCACTCACCCACTCACCCGAACCATTTACTCAGTGAATCATTCACCCAATCACCCAGCCACCGACCCATCAACCCATTCACTCACTCAGCCACTCATCCACTCAGTGAATCACTCACCCACCGACTCATCCACTCACTAACCCACCCACTAACCCAGCCGCTCAATGAATCGCCCGCTCACTCACCCACTCAACCACCCAGCCACTCACTCAGCGAATCACCCACTCACCCACTCACCCACTCACTCAGCAAATCACCCACTGACCCACCCACCCATCCACCGACCCACCCACTCACCCACTAACCCACCCACTCACTCAACCACTCACCCAACCCATTTACTCAGTGAATCATTCACCGAATCACCCAGCCACCGACCCATCAACCCATTCACTCACTCAGCCACTCATCCACTCAGTGAATCGCTCACCCACCGACTCATCCACTCACTAACCAAGCCACTCAGTGAATCACTCACCCACCGACTCATCCACCCACTCACCAAGCCACTCAGTGAATCACTCACCCACCGACTCATCCACCCACTCACCAAGCCACTCAGTGAATCACTCACCCACCGACTCATCCACCCACTCACCCACCCACTCACCCAGCCACTCAGTGAATCGCCCGCTCACTCACCCACTCAAATACTCCACTACTCACCCACCCAGCCACTCAGTGAATCACACACTCACCCACTCGCCCACTCACTCACTCGCCCACTCACCCTCCCACCCTCTCCATATCTCCCGCTCTCCGCATCTCTCATCTTGACTCTCGGCTGTGTGTGTGCGCGTCTCTCTCGTTCCGTGCCGTGGGGGGGCCACTCCACGTTCCCGTGGCAGGTCTGGGACGACGAGCAGGCCGAGTTTGTGTGCAACACGGAGCAGCCGGGCTGCAGGAACGTTTGCTACGACGCAGCCTTCCCCATCTCCCTCATCCGCTACTGGGTCCTGCAGGTGAGAGAGACACAGAGGGGGGGGGAGGGGAGGGGGGAGAGGGGGGGAGGGGGCAGAGGGGGGGGGACAGAGGGGGGGGGCAGAAGGGGGGGGGGGGGGGGGAGTCCTCAGACCCCCGTCCGCCGCTCGGCAGCTTCAATCTCTCACGGGCCTGTGAGGTCACCCCCCTTCCTGGCCCACCACCCCCCTCCCCCCCCTTCCCCCCCCTTCCCCCCCCCCCCCTCTCTCCCCCCCTCCCCCCCCTCTCCCCCCCCCCTCCCTCCCTCCCTCCCAGGTGATCTTCGTCTCCTCCCCGTCGCTCATGTACACGGGCCACGCTCTGTACCCCCCCCCTTCTCCCCCCTCTCCCCCCCTCCCCCCCCATCCCCCCCCTCTCCCCCCTCCCCTTCTCTCCCCCCCCTCTCCCCCCGCCTCTACCCCCTTCCCTTCCCCCCCTCTCCCCCCTCTCCCCTCTACCCCCTCCCCCCCCTCTACCCCCCCCTCCCCCCCCCCCCTCCCCCCCCCCCAGGTGATCTTCGTTTCCTCCCCGTCGCTCATGTACATGGGCCACGCTCTGTACCGCCTGCGAGCGCTGGAGAAGGAGCGCCAGCGCAAGAAGGCCGCCATCCGCGCCGAGCTGGAGGGCATGGAGCTGCCGGGGGCCGAGAGTGGCAAGTCGGCCTACGCTCACCACCCGCACCACCCTCACCACCCTCACCACCCTCACCACCCTCACCAGCAGCAGCAGCAGCAGCTTCCGCTCACCGCTCACCTACAGCACGTCCGCCAGCAGCAGCAACAGCAGCAGCAGGTGATGTGTCTGTGTGTCTCTGTGTGTCTGTGTGTCTCTGTGTGTCTCTGTGTGTCTCTGTGTCTCTGTGTGTCTCTGTGTGTCTCTGTGTGTTTCTGTGTGTCTGTGTGTCTCTGTGTGTGTCTCTGTGTCTCTGTGTGTCTGTGTGTGTCTCTGTGTGTCTCTGTGTGTCTCTGTGTGTCTGTGTGTGTCTCTGTGTCTCTGTGGGTCTCTGTGTGTCTCTGTGTGTCTGTGTTTCTGCGTGTCTCTGTGTGTCTCTGTGTGTGTGTCTGTGTGTCTCTGTGTGTCTCTGTGTGTCTCTGTGTGTGTGTGTCTCTGCGTGTCTCTGTGTGTCTCTGTCTATCTCTGCATGTCTCTGTGTGTTTCTGTGTCACTCCCTGTTGTTTGACAGTCTCCTGCCCCGAGTAGAGGACTGTCCACCCCTCATGGTGGCAGGAGCCAGAACCGGTCCACCGGACCTCCTAAATGCCACAGAGATCCAGGCGGTACCGGTCCAGCTCCCGACAGAGGAGTGGCAGCCTCTCCTCCGCAGTGAGCGTTCGAACATTCCACGTGGCCACACAAAGTGGTTTTTCGTTGTTTCTAGAGGAGCCCCGAGGGTGAAGATTCAATCTCCTGGCTCCGCCAATTGGGGTTTGGCCAGGAGACGTCACAGACGCCTGTCCCCCCGGGGCCTCCGGCACAAGCTTATTAGTTACATATTTAATTCGTGGGTTAGTGGTAATTAATTGAAGATGGAGGGGTTACCAGCCCCTCGCACCCATCCAGAGCCCCCGTTTAGCCACTGTGGTGGTCACAGACGCCATGAGGGGGGAGGCCAATCGGCATTGGCCCTCCCCCCACAGCACTGCCCACGACAGAGTTGCCCGTCCAGCACCGCGAGGAGGTAGGGGGTTGTTTTGACAGACTATGACCTCCTGTCACAGGTGCTGGATAAAGTGGCCACTCGGGATAGAGTCATCTTGATGGGTGACTTCAATGCCCGAGTTGGTCATGATGCTGGCACCTGGTCTGGAGTGATTGGAGGGCATGGGCCAGATCAGCTCAATAACGGTAGGAGGCTGCTAGATTTATGTGCAGCCCATGGGCTTGTAATTACCAACACGCTCTTCCGGCATCGGCGCATCCACACAACATCTTGGATGCATGCCGGGTCCAAGTAAGAACATCTGCTGGACTATATAGTGACGGACCAGCGGATGCGAGCCCATGTCCTTGACACCAGGACCTACCGTGGAGCTGATCTGCCCTCTGACCATCGACTAGTCACCTGTAAGATGCGCCTGCCATTCTTTCACTCCGGTGGTGGGTGTACACCCAGGACCCCATTCCAACCTAAAGTGGCCTGGTCTCAGTTAGCTGATGAAAGTTGCAAGTGAGAATTTCATCATCGCTTGCGGCTGGGGTTGGCATCGTCCCCCACTCCTCCTGATGTCGAGGGTAAATGGGCGAGGTTTAGGACTGTGACTCATGCAGCTGCAATGGCTGCTTTGAGTACGCGGTCCAGACCTCCCCAGAGACCCTGGCTGACAGAGGAGGTGTTCACGATAGCAACCCGAGACCACCACCCATCCTTGAGCGGGATTCTTAAATCACAACTTCCTGGTCACATGACCAAAATTAGCATCAAAAACAGGAAATTCCTGTGTACATACTCGATATTAATGTCTGTCTTTTATGTACCATGCCAGATCTGACTCGATGTTTTGTTTTTACAAACATCTGGCTAGTTTATCAGTTACTCCCACAACGTACGGCATTTTAAAATCCTTTATATTAAGTTAGCTTGCTTGCTTGCTTGCGCGCTTACGACCGTGCAAATCTTTCGGTCGTTTTTTAACCCACTTCCCGTGATCCAATCGAGCTGACATTTTGCACACAGGCTCGCTGTGCGTGACAATTTATTTTTGTGAAAATTTTGTTCCAAAATTTTGTTCCAAAATTTTACACTTTTTAGGAAAAAATAAATTATATTTAATTACCAATTGCTTAATGGTGGCAGGCAATCATCTGACCCATATGTGGCAGCCATCTCAAGCCAGAGGACGAGAGGACTCTAGCCGCCACGCATGTAAAGGATTTATAGTGAAAAACTTTGTTTTTACGGGTTAATTTTTTATCATTTTAATTACTTGGGCAGTTTCAACGCTCATGTTATTTGATTTGGTTTTGGCATCCAATGCCCTGTTCATTTGTGCATCATTGTAACTGTTCATTTGCAGCTGTAAGTAGAGGATTGGTTCTGCTGGCTTTGGCCTCAGCCAATGGGGAGACGAGTCAGGGGCGTGGCCCTGACGTCATGGTGACAGCTGTAAGTAGAGGATTGGTTCTGCTGGCTTTGGCCTCAGCCAATGGGGAGACGAGTCAGGGGCGTGGTCCCGGGAGCTGACGAGGGAGCCTGGAAGATTCCATGGAGGCTAACCAGGATTGGTGGAAACGTACCACGTGACCCGGGTATTAAATAGGGGTGGAGACGAACGACACGTGGTCAAAACGGGAACGAACGGAGGAGGGGGCCACGCGGGAGCGGGGCTCCGAGTTGCCACGTGGTCCAGGCTGCCACGTGGTCCAGGCTGCCCACGTGGTCCAGGCTGCCACGTGGTTTAGGCTGCCACGTGGTCCAGGCTGCCACGTGGTCCAGGCTGCCCACGTGGTCCAGGCTGCCCACGTGGTCCAGGCTGCCACGTGGTCCAGGCTGCCACGTGGCAGTGCGTCTCTCTCTATCCCTCTCACGCTGCCTGTCAGCAGTGTGAAGGGGAGCTGTAATGCAAAGTGAATAAAAGACCGGATTCCAGAAGTCGCCTCAACGAGCATTATTACAATTGTAAGCAGAGAGTCAGAGACACGTATCCACTCACCTATTCCCTCGCCCCCCCACTCCTCCTTCATCCCTCTCTCTCCTTCACCCTCCCTCCCTCCTCCCCACCCCCACCTCCCTCCTCCAGGGCACTCCCGTGCATTCTAGACTTGAAGTTTTCGTGACTGCAAGGATTCATACGCTTAGTTCTTTCGGTAAAGTCACCGTGTAGGAAAATAAAATTTAATTAAAATAAAAAAAAATGTATTTTATTTTCATCCGGTGGGAAAGCCACCACTCTTCGTTTGACAACAACTGATGACTTTTGTAGTCCATTATAGATTGAAACATAGCACTGTTCTACAAACTACTGATCACAACTTTATGCTAAAAAATGAAATTAAAATTAATTTAAAAAAAATATTTTAATTTCATTTTTTACCTACGTGACTTTACCGAAAGAACTAAGAGAGAGTGTCACTCCCATGCACCCACCCACTCGCCCACTAGAGTTCTAATCTTCATCTCATCCCCATGTCCTTCATCCCCATCTCCCTCCTCGCCTCTCCCCACCCCCCTACAGGTCCCCGCCACCGCCGCCGCCGCCCCGTCCCAGCCGGGCGGGCTGCACAAGCGGCTGGAGCGCGAGCTGCGCAAGCTGGAGGAGCAGCGCAAGCTGAGCAAGGCGCCGCTGCGCGGGGCGCTGCTACGCACCTACGTGCTGCACATCGTGGCGCGCTCCGCGCTGGAGGTGGCCTTCGTGATGGGCCAGTGTTCGCTGTACGGCGTCGCGCTGAGGCCCCTCTACAAGTGCGCCCGCCGGCCCTGCCCCAACGTGGTGGACTGCTTCGTGTCGCGCCCCACCGAGAAGACCGTCTTCGTCGTCTTCATGCTCAGCATCGCCGCCATCTCCCTGCTGCTCAACCTGCTGGAGATCGCCCACCTCGGCTTCCGCAAGCTCCGCCGGGGGCTGCTCAAGAGCAAGGGACGCGCCGCCGCTGCTGCCGCGGTGGCGGCGGCGGCCGCTGAGACAACGGCGGTGGACCTACCGGCGGTGGAGGACCAGAAGATCGCTGCTGCCGGTGGTGGTGGTGGTGGAGGTCTTGGTGGTGGTGGTGGTCTTGGTGGTGGTGGAGGTCTTGGTGGTGGAGGTCTTGGTGGTGGTGGTGGTGGTGGAGGTCTTGGTGGTGGTGGTGGTGGTGGACGTGGTAGCAGCAGCGGTAATGGTGGCTCAATTCCAGCGCCACAATACTCCAAGTTCCGAGCATCAATACCGCAGGTGTCACTCGGTGGTGGAGATGGTGGAGATGGTGGAGATGGTGGACATGGAGGTGGTGGAGGTGGTGGGAGACCGAGCGACGCCTCCACGGTGACATCGCCGATCGCCGTTCCGCCCCCGGGGCCAGTGGCAGGGCGAGCCGGAAGGAGCCCTCCGCGGGGCGACGGAGCGGGAGACCCGCAGACAAACGTGTGGAGCCAGGGGGCCCTCACGCACTCAGCGGCCAGCCTCTCCCGCCCGGGGGTGAGCGTCGCTGGTGGTGGTGGTGGTGGTGATGATGGTGGTGGTGATGGTGGTGTTGGTGGTGATGTTGGTGGTGATGGTGTTGGTGGTGTTGGTGGTGATGATTGTGAGGGTGGTGTTGGTGGTGATGGTGAAGTTGGTGGTGATGTTGATGGTGGTGTTGGTGGTGATGTTGGTGGTGATGATTGTGAGGGTTGACTCATTTTTAATATGGGAGAGTGAGGAGTTCGAATCCATTTTCTCTCCCATGAAATTCCCTAAATGTTTCTATAGGAGACTAACGCGGATGTTTAGACGTTGCTTTAACGGCGACAGAAAGAAGGACGACAATAACTCGATCCAGAATACAATGAAACTTTACAAGGTTTGGAACTTATGAACGATGCCTTGATTCATTCTGCAGTATCGACGCACTATGCACAAGGATGCGAACCAACCATGGTGGATAATAATTTCTTGGCAACCAAGTACGACCATGAAAACTGTCGGCGACAGAACCCCGTAGTTCACCGGCTTCACACAGTCGACCATCACAGCGCACCGACCCTCGGCACCACCCTGAGGCACGCTCCACCGCCGTGTGACGGGGCGACGTAGCAGCAGAAGCCAGGGGACACTGATCCGGAGACACAGATCCGGAGACACTGATCCGGGGACACAGATCCGGGGACACTGATCCGGGGACACAGATCCGGGGACACAGATCCGGGGAGACAGATCCGGAGACGCAGATCCGGGACGCAGATCCGGGGACGCAGATCCGGGGACGCAGATCCGGGGAGACAGATCCGGGCACGCAGATCCGGGGACGCAGATCCGGGGACGCAGATCCGGGGACGCAGATCCGGGAGACAGATCCGGGGACGCAGATCCGGGGACGCAGATCCGGGGACGCAGATCCGGGGACGCAGATCCGGGGACGCAGATCCGGGGAGACTGATCCGGGGACACTGATCCGGGGACACTGATCCGGGGACACAGATCCGGGGAGACTGATCCGGGGACACTGATCCGGGGACACTGATCCGGGGACACTGATCCGGGGACACAGATCCGGGGAGACTGATCCGGGGAGACTGATCCGGGGACACTGATCCGGGGAGACTGATCCGGGGACACAGATCCGGGGAGACTGATCCGGGGACACTGATCCGGGGACACTGATCCGGGGACACAGATCCGGGGAGACTGATCCGGGGACACTGATCCGGGGAGACTGATCCGGGGACACTGATCCGGGGACACTGATCCGGGGACACTGATCCGGGGAGACTGATCCGGGGACACTGATCCGGGGACACAGATCCGGGGAGACTGATCCGGGGACACTGATCCGGGGAGACTGATCCGGGGACACTGATCCGGGGACACTGATCCGGGGAGACTGATCCGGGGACGCAGATCCGGGGACACTGATCCGGGGACACAGATCCGGGGAGACTGATCCGGAGACACTGATCCGGGGACACTGATCCGGGGACACTGATCCGGGGACATTGATCCGGGGACACAGATCCGGGGACACTGATCCGGGGACACTGATCCGGGGACGCAGATCCGGGGACGCAGATCCGGAGACGCAGATTCGGAGACGCAGATCCGGGGACACAGATCCGGAGACACAGATTCGGGGACACTGATCCGGGGACACTGATCCGGGGACACAGATCCGAGGACACTGATCCGGGGACACAGATCCGGGGACACAGATCCGGAGACACAGATCCGGGGACACTGATCCGGGGACGCAGATCCGGGGACACTGATCCGGAGACGCAGATCCGGGGACACTGATCCGGGGACACAGATCTGCTCTCGAGGTCGCGTGCGGCCTCACGGCTCCCCGCGGACCCAACGGCCGTGCCGCACTCCCAGGATGCAGTGCGGCATCGGCCTCGGCCTACGCTCGCAACGACGCTCCACGCGACTTGGTGCACCAGCGATGGCGGCCACTGGAATTCCCTCCTCGTCTGCCCCCTCCCTCCCTCTCTCTGCCCTCTCCCCTCTCCTCCCTCCCTCTCCCCTCCCCCAGGGTGGGCACGGCAGAGGAGGAGCCGGGTCCGACGCGCCGGGCCAGGTCACCACCGGCACCGGCACCACCACCACCGCCGCCACCACCACCACGACCCGCAATGGCAAACACCACAACGCCGCTGCTGCCACCAGTGCGGCCACCGGCGGTGGATCTGCTCGCACTACGTCTACTCGAGGTGCAGGAGGTGGAGATGGAGGAGGTGGAGATGGAGGAGGTGGAGGTGGCAGAGGATCTGGCAGAGGAGTTTTCGGAACTTGGCTTCACCGTCCACAAGATTTGATCGACAGCGGACCGAAGGTCTCCTCCGCTGCTGATCCAAACATCTCCTCCAGTACCGGTCTGAAGGCTTCTGCGAGTGGCAGCGGAGGGAGCAGCGGAGGGAGCAGTAACGGAAGCTTCCGACCTCATCCTCCTCCTCCACCTCCTCCTCCTCCACCACCACCTCCTCCACCACCTCCTCCCTACTCCACCTCTTCATCACCGGCCTCCTCCTCCTCGTCGTTGTCGCAGGCGGAAAGGAGATGCGGGCAGACGGACGGCGGTGCCATGTTGGGGGACGTCCATCGGACGTCAGAGTCGGACGTTCGGCGTCTACAACGAAGGCAGCAGCAGCAGCAGCAGGAGGATGATGACGGTGGAGACGATGGTGGAGATGACGGTGGAGACGACGGTGGAGACGATGGTGGAGATGGAGGAGGTGGTGGAGGAGATGAGGAGAGGCTGAGCGGTTCGGTGTTGGGCTCGGGGTCCGTGTCGGGGTCCAGCGAACTCAGCGGCCCAAGTCCCCCTCCCCCCACGTCACGTCGAGTCTCCATGGCAAGTGGGGCAAGTGGTGGAGGTGGTGGAGGTGGTGGTGAAGGAGGTGGAGAGAAAGGTGGAGGAGGAGGTGGTGGAGTTGGAGGTGGTGGTGGTGAAGGAGGTGGTGGTGGAGTTGGAGGTGGTGGAGTTGGAGGTGGTGGTGAAGGAGGTGGAGAGAAAGGTGGAGAGAAAGGTGGAGGAGGAGGTGGTGGAGTTGGAGGTGGTGGTGAAGGAGGTGGAGAGAAAGGAGGAGGTGGTGGTGGAGTTGGAGGTGGTGGAGTTGGTGGTGGAGGTGGTGGTGAAGGAGGTGGAGAGAAAGGTGGAGGAGTTGGTGGTAGAGTTGGTGGTGGGGGAGGTGGAGAGAATGGTGGAGTTGATGGAGGTGGAAGAGGTGGTGGTGGAGTTGTTGGTGATGGACGTGGAGACAGTGGTGGTGGAGGTGGAGGTGGTCATCGGGACCAACATCGCCACCACCCCAGCCGTGTAGCCCCAGACCTCGCCATTTGACTGTGGAGAGCGGTGGTGGTGATGGTGGTGGTGATGGTGGTGGTGATGGAGGCGGTGGTGTTTATAGAGGTGGTGGTGGAGGTGGTGATGGAGGTGGTGGTGGTTGTGGAGGTGGTGGTGGTTATGGAGGCGGTGGTGGTGATGGAGGTGGTGGTGGAGTTGCTGGTGGTGGTGGTTATGGAGGCGGTGGTGGTGATGGAGGTGGTGGTGGAGTTGCTGGTGGTGGTGGTGATGGAGGTGGTGGTGGTGATGGAGGTGGTGGTGGTTGTGGAGGCGGTGGTGGTGATGGAGGTGGGTGGTGGTGATGGAGGTGGTGGTGGTGATGGTGGTGGTGGTGGTGATGGTGGTGGTGGTGGTGGTGGTGGTGATGGAGGTGGTGGTGGTGGTGATGGAGGTGGTGGTGATGGAGGTGGTGGTGGTGATGGAGGTGGTGGTGGTGATGGAGGTGGTGGTGGTTGTGGAGGTGGTGGTGGTTGTGGAGGTGGTGGTGGTGATGGAGGTGGTGGTGGTGATGGAGGTGGTGGTGGTGATGGAGGTGGTGGTGGTGGTGGAGGTGGTGGTGGTGATGGAGGTGGTGGTGGTGATGGAGGTGGTGGTGGTGATGGAGGTGGTGGTGGTGATGGAGGTGGTGGTGGTTGTGGAGGTGGTGGTGGTGATGGAGGTGGTGGTGGTGATGGAGGTGGTGGTGGTTGTGGAGGTGGTGATGGAGGTGGTGGTGGTTGTGGAGGTGGTGGTGGAGGTGGTGTTGGTGGTGGAGGTGGTGGTGGTGATGGTGGAGGTGGTGATGGAGGTGGGGATGGAGGTGGTGGTGGTGATGGAGGTGGTGGTGGTTGTGGAGGTGGTGGTGGTGATGGAGGTGGTGGTGGTTGTGGAGGTGGTGATGGAGGTGGTGGTGGTTGTGGAGGTGGTGGTGGAGGTGGTGTTGGTGGTGGAGGTGGTGGTGGTGATGGTGGAGGTGGTGATGGAGGTGGTGATGGAGGTGGTGGTGGTGATGGAGGTGGTGGTGGTTGTGGTGGAGGTGGTGGTGGTGATGGAGGTGGTGGTGGTGGTGGTGGTGATGGAGGTGGTGGTGGTGATGGAGGTGGGTGGTGGTGGTGATGGAGGTGGTGGTGATGGAGGTGGTGGTGGTGATGGAGGTGGTGGTGGTGATGGAGGTGGTGGTGGTGATGGAGGTGGTGGTGGTGATGGAGGTGGTGGTGGTGATGGAGGTGGTGGTGGTTGTGGTGGAGGTGGTGGTGGTGATGGAGGTGGTGGTGGTGGTGGTGATGGAGGTGGTGGTGGTGATGGAGGTGGTGGTTGTGGTGATGGAGGTGGTGGTGGTGGTGGAGGTGGTGGTGATGGAGGTGGTGGTGGTGGTGGTGATGGAGGTGGTGGTGGTGATGGAGGTGGTGGTGGTGATGGAGGTGGTGGTGGTGATGGAGGTGGTGGTGGTGATGGAGGTGGTGGTGGTTGTGGAGGTGGTGATGGAGGTGGTGATGGAGGTGGTGGTGGTGATGGAGGTGGTGGTTGTGGTGGAGGTGGTGGTGGTGATGGTGGAGGTGGTGATGGAGGTGGTGGTGGTGATGGAGGTGGTGGTGGTGATGGAGGTGGTGGAGGTGGTGATGGAGGTGGTGGAGGTGGTGGAGGTGATGGAGGTGGTGGTGGTGATGGAGGTGATGGAGGTGGTGGTGGTGATGGAGGTGATGGAGGTGGTGGTGGTGATGGAGGTGGTGGTGGTGATGGAGGTGGTGGTGGTGATGGTGGAGGTGGTGATGGAGGTGGTGATGGAGGTGGTGGTGGTGATGGAGGTGGTGGTGGTGATGGAGGTGGTGGTTGTGGTGGAGGTGGTGGTGGTGATGGTGGAGGTGGTGATGGAGGTGGTGATGGAGGTGGTGGTGGTGGTGATGGAGGTGGTGGTCGTTGTGGATGTGGTGGTGGTGATGGAGGGTGGTGGTCGTTGTG